ATTCTGGGTAAAATATGAAGATTTGATGATATGCTTATGAGTTTTGAGAGCAAAAGTAGCGAAACTTTGAAGTGAAAATGAGATTATGGAAGGAGTTTTTGGCCAACATATATATATATATATATATATATATATATATATATATATATATATATATATATATATATATATATATATGGGGTAATATTGATTTGACACTTGCATTGAAATGTGTATTTTATCAATTTGAAATGTGTGCCATCGGATAAGATTTTATGTTCTCGACTTATCCTTCAACCGAGAACACTTGATTTCGGTCTAATGAGCAAATGAGAACTCAAGGTGATTTCGGTCTAAAGGGGGTTCTCGGTCTATGTAGGATCTCGGCCTCACATGATTTCCGCCAATAAGGGTTTTCGGTCTAGAATGGGATTTGATTCCCAAAACCAAAAACACTAAATTAAGGCTCAATTTTATACTTTATGCTTTATGAATAAATAAATTGACTTTTAATTTGACGTTTATGACTTTTATTGACTTTCTTTGACTTTTGTTGACCCAAATTAACTATTTGTTAGACTTTGCTTCCTTCTTTCACCTTCTTCCTTCAAAACACCAAACTAGCTTCACAAATGGGAGATAAAATGATTAGGGTTTCTTTCAGAGCTTGAGGGGTTGATAGAGGCTGAGGGTGAACAAACCATAACCTCCACATTCCTTTAAATATGGAGGAAAAACCCGGAATATTAAGGTTTCATCTCAGCGGTCAACACACTATGTTCTAAGAGGAAACACGCCGTGTTGCCCAAATAAAACTTGTGCCTTTTAATACCCACACACGCCGTGTTGGTGCCTCCGATACACTATGTCCAAACATTAATTATACCCAAGAGTGCTACCACTTGAGCCATTGGCATGAAATATAATTATAGGGATGCATTTAGAAGTACATGAACATCGGGGTGTTACAAAGAGTTTGTTGGATATTTGGTTCATTTTAGTAAGTTTTGGTCCCTTTTTGGCTTATTTCATTTAGTTGGAAGAACTCTTGAGCTTTTTGCTGATGTTTGGGATTTTATATGGTAATTTGGTAAAGTAAAGAGTGTATATAAGAGTTCTCCTTACTCCATGCATAAAGAAAAATGGGGTTTTGGTCATTTCTCAACTTAGGGTTTTAGATCTTGGAATTTTGTGGCTTTCTAATGGATAAATTTGGAAACTTTATCCACTTAGACATCATGTTGATTCATATTTGAAATTTGGAGGCTTGGACTTAATGGATTAAGTCGAGAAAGATGCATTCTTGGACTCTTTTTATGACTTAAAATTTAGATTTTGGTTGTTTGGATCATCCTCATTGATCAAGTTGGAAACTTTATCCATTATGAATCTATTAAGTACCAGATCTGAAATGTTGGAAGCTTGGGCTTAAGGGTTAATTATTTAACCCATTAAGTTTTTTGGGCTTTGGACACAATGCGACGATGTGTAAGCCACAACGTAGTGGCAGGTTAAAACAAGAGTATTATGTCTTTTTGCCATTACGACTTGACCATGGTGTTGGCTACGACACAGTAACTCGGCCATTGAGTTTTTGACCAGTTTGAATTTTAGTCAAACCTTGTTAGGATTGAGTGTGTAGCTAAGGACTCGTCTCAGTTTGGTATTAGTTAGCTTGCGTTAGCTGTTCTATTGTTGAGGATACTGTTAAGCTTTTATTCTGTAGCTTAGGTGAGTCATGTCGTTTAGCTGTGGTGAGTCTTCTCACTATACTTTATACTATAGTATAGATCCTTTATATGTTAGGATGCTGGTATGTTGAGTGATCTGTTAGACATGAAGATTTCTTAATAATTGTCTGTGACTATTTGTTTGTTACTTGCATATGTCGACATATTGTGAGTGGGTTGAGGTGGTCTAGTTGTGTGTTGAAGAGCAAGATACCCTTGCACTCTAGTTTAATGTTACAATCTTAAGGAGAGTGGTCTAGCTTAATGTTGTAGGCTCTGGAGAGTAGTCTAGCTAAATGTTGTAATCTCGGATAGCAGTCCAACCTTGTGTTGTTGGCCTTGTGTGCAGGCATATGTGTATTGCTGTGTGAGGTATTTAGGGGAACTCACTAAGCTTTGACTTACAGTTATGGATTAAATGCTTTTCAAGTACTTTATCAGTTCGTGGGAAGGCAAAGATGTAACTGTACACACCCATCAATAGTTTAATGATTTGAGATTCCACAATACTTTTCTTTACAACTCTGGTTTTGAACTACGGTTTACAAACAAATGGTTTTGCCTTGATTATATCTTACGAAAATATGTGTTTATTCCGGTTTAAAAATAAAAATTTTATTCTAAAAATTAGGACATTAAATAAACTTACGAAACTTTTCCGTTAACTAAGCTAACATATTAGTAATTTGGTAAATTACACCATTCTTCCCTCTTTCATGTGCCAAAACGCATGTTTAGTCCATATTTTCAAAAATGAACTTTGATTGTCCCGAGTTTGCTTTTTTTTTTTTTGCACGCTCAGTCACTCCGAACATAAAAAGACTATTTTTCCTTTAACATTTTATTTTTTTAATTTTCTTTTGTTCATTTATTATTTTTAGACTAAAAACAAAGGAAAAAATATCTTCCCCTCCCCCCCCCCCCCCCCTTTTCCATTCTCCGTGAGACCAAAAGTCCAAAACATCACCACTATTGTTTATTTCCTTTCCCATTCTTCTATATTTAATCCCCTAGAGAGAAAGTTTGAAGAACAAAAATGGCTGAAGAACATGACACACACGAAGTAAGAAATCACGTTTTTCCGACAAGAAGGTAGCAAGATACAAAGATCATTGTCTGAAAGAACAACATATGTCAAAACCAAACCCTATCCACCTCTACTTTTTTTTATGAGAGGGTAGTGATATGTTCTAACCAAAATTCTAAATAATGTGAGATGTGGCTTGACAACAACGTCTAAGTTAAGCTATGATGAGCCTTGACGAGCTATGACGTTTTTTAAGGCGTGACTATTTTATATATATTAAAAAAATAAATCATATAATAATTGAAATTTATCAAATATATCAAGTTTTTAGAAATATTATATTAATATTTAATATAAAAAATTAACAAAAATTCAATTATTTTAGGTCCAATAAAAAAAAACCGCGCTTTGAAAAAAACTCGCGCCATAAAGCATTAAGATGCGTTTTAACACGTTATTTGGGTGCCACACTTAACAAACCCGCTTTGGACGTTTTCGTAACGGCTACACCACGCCTCACACAATTACACGTCTTGAGACACGCCATGACGCGCTTTTAAGAACCATGGTTCCAATGTTCGATTGAGAACAAGATAACTAATCCGTTTTCTCAATATGTGGTTTATCGATTAGAGTGAGAAGAAGGAAGAAGGTTTCACCATTGGATGGGAAGGGAGAATGGAGTGTTTGGGGTGGTTGTGCCGAAAAATATGGGTGATCCATCGTTACACCAAACCATAGGCACCTTCATTTTTTTTGTCGAGAGGGTAGCAAATTTGCACTCCTTCCCAAGTTTCTACCTTACTGTTTAGATTTGTACTCCGAAAAGAGGCTATATCCTCCCACAATACTGATAATGGAGCGATGATAGGTGGTGTCAAAGGGAGTGGTTGCCGACCGATGTTCGTACAAGAGGGTTTCAATGGTGAAGAAGGTGGTGGTTGGTGATTATTTTTTAGGAAAACAAATAGTGGTTGTGTAGTGGTGGAGTGGATTTCCAGTAATGGTGTGTGTGTGTGTGAGAGAGAGAGAGAGAGATTCTCATATTAGGTTTAATAAATTAAAAATAATTAAAGATATAAAAAATAAATTATAAAGTGCATTTTAGTTATTCCATTTCACATGTAAATTTAAACTAATGGAAGTGAGATATACATGTTTTTAAAATACATTAATTTTTAAAAATAAGAATTAAATGCATGTTTGACATATACACCGGAATGATGTAATTTACCTAGAAAATTTCAAGCAATTACCCTTAAAACAAATATAAATTAATTGTCGAATAAAATATTGTTAAATTTTCAAGCAATTACCCTAGAAATTTTCAAGTAATGTTCGTGGCGTAATATCGTTAAATTCGGAAAAAGAAAACTCAAAAGAAGGAAAATCGTAAAGCCTCACCGTCTTGTCTCGCCTCCTTCCTCATTGCCTCGCCGTTCACCTCCAACTTACCACCGTTCGCTGTACTTTTCACTCCGTCATCTTTTAAGTCTCATCGCCGTTCATCGTCCTCTATTCTCGTCTACTCAGGTCTCGTTGTCGTTCTCTAGGCAGGTAACTATGTATACACTGTGCACATTCTTACAAGTTAATTTCACAAGTTGTCGATTATCTTATTTTATCAATATGTGTTTTTCCATCAACTGGGGTTTAAATTTCGATTATTTCGATTACTTTTGTCTAGTTTTATATTTCAATTAGAGCGTCCATCTTCTTTAGGATTTTGCTGATACAGAGTTTAGATCTCTAATTGCTTAATTAATAGTAAATTATTTGCAAATAAGCTGGATTAGGTTTTTGCTTTGAGCTACAAAATTTGTATGTGATTCCTTTGTAGATTTATCACCTACAAGTCTACAACCTTAGACAACAAATCCTTTTTCAGTTGTCTAATAAATCACCTTTGTCTCAAGAAAGGGGATATCTGTAGGCTTGTGGATGAGGTTTATAAGTTTATTTACCTCCAAAGTTTCATCTAGTATAGATTTGAAATCGAAAGCTTATAAATGGCATGACTTTATAATTTAAGAAAAAAAAGGGATCTATAAACAACCATGTCAAGAAACTTATTCTTTTTTGTGTTTATATATTAATTATTTGTTAAAATCTGATGCAGCAAATTAAGTGTGGGATTCGAAAGCTTTTTGACAAAAGGAAGAGGTGAACACTAAAACCAACATTCATAACTGAAGCTGTGTGAAGGAAACCTGAGTTTCAAAGCATATTGGGAAGGGTGAAAGGTCATTAACCCATAACTCATAATGGCTGTTCTCTCTGAACATTCAGAAGGATTTTCATCTTCATCAACTCATGGTTATACATACGATGTGTTTTTAAGTTTTAGAGGCGATGATACTCGTCATGGTTTCACTAATCAGCTGTATAAGGCACTCATGGATGCCAAAATCACTACCTTCTTGGATGATGAAGAGATTGAAATAGGGGAAGATCTGAAACCGGAATTGGAGAGTGCAATTAAAGCATCTAGGGCTTCTGTTATTGTGTTGTCCATGAATTATGCTACTTCAACATGGTGTCTGGATGAATTAGTATTGATCCTTGAGCAACATCTGACATCCAACCATATTGTTTTCCCTCTCTTTTATCATGTGGAGCCCACTAATGTCAGGAAGCAAAAATGTAGCTTCGGAGATGCAATGGCTATGCATAGACACAGGATGGAGGCAGAGACAAATGCAAATAAAAGAAGTAAATTAGCTGAAAAGATGGAAAAATGGAATAAAGCGCTTACAGAAGTTGCTGATTTAAAAGGGATTGACATAAATGGCAGGTGACCACTTTTATACCCATATTTCCATGCTCCTTTAATTTTGTTCTATTAGCTCATGAAAAGTTAATATCTTCTTCTCCCTATGCATTTCAATAAATTTCCTAATCAACATCAATTATGTATATTTCTGATGTATATAAAATGGATAAAGAAATGCTTAAAATTGAATCTAATTTTTGCAATCATCTGATCTCATGTATTGATTCATATAGGTAGATTAAATGATTAACCATCTTGCTACTTTTAACACCTTTTGTATGCATTTATTATTTTATCATAAATTAATTCTTTTTAATACACCATTGTAATAACTTTTATATGCTTTCTATTAAAACTAAAATTTGAATGGTTGCAATGTGTTTACCATTGATTATGTATTTTCTAACTTCAAATCATATCATCTTCAATATTGATAAATAACTGCTCTTACTTATAACTTGTAAGTAGTAATGGTTAACCCTATAACTATTACATACCATTTTTTTACAGATCCATGCAAAACCACATTGATATTTAAGATTGACAATCTTATAAAACCACATTGAGATATTGTATTACATTGGTGGCTCAGGACTTATTATACATAAAAACTATGACATTTCACATTAGATGCTTATATGGTTATAACATAGAAAGGCGAATATGACATAGTTTTGATATTAAAACCTTATTTAGAATGTGACTTTGATTTCAAATCAAATTTCAGGAAAGAAACGGAAGTTATTGTAGAAGTTGTAAATGACATCTACAATAGATTACGTATATCCTCAAGGAGTCCTCTGCCACAACTTATTGGAATGGATAATTCCATTAATTTTGTCACTTCATGGTTGCAAGATGCATCCTTACATACAACAAACATACTTACTATTTTAGGTATTGGTGGAATTGGGAAGACATCTTTAGCCAAATATGTCTACACGTTACATTGTCATGAATTCCACACAAGCAGTTTTATTGAAGATATCGGTAAGAGATGTGATGCAAAAGCTAGTGGTTTGCTCGACTTACAACAACAACTCTGTGATGACATTTCAAAAACAACTTCAATTCTAGTTAATAATGCTTCTATATACACCTCAAAAATTGAGAATGTAGTCTCCCGTAAAAAGGTGTTTCTAGTTCTTGATGATATCAATAGTCTTGACCAGTTAAACGCGTTACTTGGAAGCAAAGCTTTTCATCCGGGAAGCAAAATCATAATAACAACAAAGGACGCGTGGTTAACAGAGAGTTGTGCACTATTCAAAAAGAACTTTAAACCCAACCATTTAAAACACTTGCTTGAAGGATTAGATGACACTGGGTCACGGAAACTTTTGTGTTTTCATGCTTTCATGTCCTCTGATCCGAATCCAGGCTATGAAGAGTTGTCAGATAAGCTTGTGAAATATTGTGAAGGACATCCAATGGCTCTTAAAGGTATGGGAAAGGCTTTACATAATCGGGATATATCTTATTGGGAGGGATGCATGGAAGAGTTAAAGAAAGAAAATGGATCTCGTATACATAATGTGTTAAGAGGAAGCTTTGACTCTTTACCATCTAACGATAATAAGGATTTGTTTAAAGATATTGCATGTTTTTTTGTTGGAATGGATAAAGATGTAGCAATTACGATATTAAATTCTTTTGGTATAGAAACAAGAAATGGGATCACTAATTTAATCGACAGAGGCCTTCTTAGTATTAATCAAAATAACAAGTTAATGATGCGTCAATTGATTCAAGAGATGGGAAGATACATTGTATGTGAAGAATCACCTAACAAGCCATGGAAACGGAGTCGATTATGGTGTGATGAAGAGTCATTCAAAGTGTTGAAACAAAAAAAGGTAAGATCAAAATATCTTTTATTCTCTATATACATGTTTTGTAACATTTGATGTTTATTTTTGCATCCGTTTTCTTTTTAGGGTAAAGGAAATATTCGAGGCCTCACCCTTGACATGAGAACGCTTGAGAAAGAGAAGTTACGTGGATCAGTTGAGTTGAAAACAGACGCATTGAGTAAGATGGATAGGCTAATGCTTCTACAACTCAATTATGTGCAAATTAGAGGGTCTTATGAGAATTTTCCAGAAGAATTAAGATGGTTGTGTATGCATGGGTTTCCTTTGAAGTCTATACCTTCAGACTTACGAATGGAGAATTTGGTTGCTCTTGACATGTCATATAGCAATATTGAATCATTTGGTGTTTGTTATAGTAATTCACAACTGCTTCAAAAGAGGCAAAAGGTAACTTATCTTCATTTATTACTTTTCCATGTTGAGTTGATAAAATTCACTACTATTCTATGTTCTAACCTATATTTGTTTATCAGCTGGATGGATATTGTTTAAAAGACAAAAGGGTTCTTGGATCATTGAAGATTCTTAATTTAAGTTTTTGTGAACAACTTGTTAGTTTGGGTGGGTTTGATGAAATCCCAACACTTGAGAGGCTAATAGTTACAAATTGCATTGGTTTGCGTGAAGTTTGTGAGTCAATTGAGCAATGTGTTGAACTTGTCCTTGTTGATCTGAGTTTCTGTATCAAGATTGAAAAGCTTTCAAGAATTGTATGTGTGTTGAAGAAGGTTAAAACATTATTACTAGAGGGTTGTAATCTTGGTGAATCTTGAAGTGATATTGAGGATTTGCTCTTGTTAATCATCAATATTAGACATAGTTGTTGTCTAACATCTTATATAGATGGATTATGACTTTATTTATCTTAAATAGATGGATCTGACCCCATTCGACACATTTTTATTGATTTTACTGATCTTTAAAATAAGACTGTGTTTTTATAAAATATAAAAAGTGGAAGTTATGTTTTTTTATCACGTGAATAAAAGGCATAGAGAAATACCCACAGAAGGTTACAAGTAAGCATGAGGGCAAGTCATATGCTGATCTTCTTTAGGTAAAGAACTGGTTTCACTTTTTTTGTTCCTCTTTTCTTCTTTTGACAAGTGTTTATGCGACCTTTATTTCCAGAAGGGTAGTTATGGTAATAAATGGTAGAAAAGATGGCTAATAGTTACAGAAAAAGAAGAAAAGGCAAGTATGAAAGAGGAAAGAAGAGAAGATTAAAAAGTGAAAAGAAGACCAAAGAGTAAGGGTCAATTGTGAAAAATAACGTTGTACTTTGAAAAATCTACCCAATAATATTGATTTATCAATTTAGAAAGAAATTCTTATTATGTAGTTTTTTGAAGTATAATGCATAGTAAGAAATATTTGAAAGGGAGATGCTATAACTGGGTAGATTCCAAAAACAGTATCTTAACACTTAATAAGAAATAATGGAAAGTACAATGTTGTAATAGAAATACATAAATTTTATAAATAAAAATAAAAATGCTATAATATTCAGAAAGAATGTTGCAATTTTTGGTGATATAATTGGTAAGATTTTTTCAAAGTATTAGTCTTGATAAGAAAAATAACTAAAAGTACAATTCTGTAATAGAAATAAACAAATGTTGAATATTGTTATATAAAAATAAATGAAAGTATGGTGCAAATTTCACTATTATAGTTGTGTAAAATTTTAAAAGTATATTGTCCTAATAAGAAAAAAAAAGGAAGTAAAATGTTGTAATTAGTTAGATGTGTCCATGTACAACGATATAAAGTGATGTACAATGCCTTAATGAATATATTTGAAAAATATATATAGTGTTGTAACACAAATAAATGTATGTTGAGTAAGTGTGATTTTTGCTGAATGAAAGGTTATCCGGTTCTTTCTATATGGATTTGGGATAGGTATCTGATAACAGACATAAGTTGTAAAGAGAAACTATATGTGATTATAATTTAATTTCAAGATGCCTACAAGGTCATATCATTGGTTTTAGAGTATGCACAGCATAGAAACTAAAATATATTATCATATAAAAATATGAAAACTAGAATGTGGTAGAGAACAAACTCAATACCTAGATTATGATAGCTTGAAATATGAAATCGCTCAATATGGAAACAAACTAAAATATGATAAATTATTTTAAGTTTCCTATTATTCAAAAGGTGGTTAAATTCCTAGTTATGTAAACCATGTTTCACATTTTTTTTTCCAATTTATACAACCAAATGGTTTCTAGACGAAATATGCAATGATAATATGATATTCATTCTAAGACTAAAACGTGATAGCGTAACAAGGGTTCTTTGTGATGTGGTGTTTGTTAAATGTTTATATACAATAACTAGTTTATAATCCGTGAGAATAATGGTTACAAAATTAATTAAACTTTTACAGTAAAGATTCATAATTATTAATCAATTATTTTTAATAAATCATTTTAAATAAATTATTAATTAAGAGATATATCAAATTTTTAAAAATTATTATAACTTCAAATTTAACATATAATTAGAAAAAGTAAATTTGAATTTTAAAGTGATTTTTTATGACTAGTGATATAATATTAATGAAGAGTTATATTAGAGTGACACATGATAAAAAAAAAAATAAAAAAATAAAAAAAAATAAAACTATTTTTTTATTAAAATAGAAAGATATCTTACCTTTTAACAATTTTAAAAACATAGTGGCTTGTATACAATTTGTGCATTAGCATCTCGTAAATTAAAATTTTAATTTTACTGGGTCTTATGTCATGTAGTTTTATATCATATAAAAACTCTGTTTAGAAAATATGTATTTTTTAAATATAGGTTTAAAGTTCATTTGACTCATTTACCTATAAATAAGTTCATATTCTTTTATATATTATTCTAATCGATCAAATCATCAAATAAGTAAAATTAAAAAGTACGGTAAGTTGATTTTGATTAGATTTTGTGTAAATAAGTCGTGTCTTGTACAAATTCCATGTGTGTAAAATAAAACTAATTTGATTAACATTTCTTTCACTTACTTACAATTAAAGCTAATTTTAATTCATATCTTAGTTTAAATGGTTAAATAGATAAAACTGAAAATTTAGATAGAAACATGATATGGGTGAAATACGTTTATTAACAACGCTCTACCTTTTCCGCTTTTCCATGAGTATATAGAATAACATTATTGTAATATTTAACCGGTTAAGTATGTTACATGTATGATGCTTTATATATTGTTTTAGAATAAAAAATTAGTGCATATTATATACTATATATTGTTTTGTAATATCGGTGTCAACTTTAGTTGCCACTTTAAGTCCTTGCTTTTTTTCGCTCATTTGGTCCTAATTCTACTTTGGCAATTTCAGCCCTCCCCCTTATTTATTTATTTATTTATTATTTATTTTTATCCTGTGTCGTTTTTTTTTCTTTTTTCTTTTTTTGATCCTTTCTATTTTTAAGTTTGCAATATATTACTTTCATCCTTTTAATTTTTCAAATTTTCATGTTTATCCACCGTAGTATATATAATATGATTTTCCTTAATGATTACGTTTCCACGTAAATTTTATGTACGTTTTCATGTTTACTTTATATACGTTTTCTAGGATGGATCTGATCACATATACTATGTTTTCATTCGATAATATAAATTGAAGTTAGTTAGTTGTATTGACATTGTATATTTATCTATCAACAAATGTAACGATATCTAACTTTTATCAATACAATCGTCAGAATTCAACTTACAAAACGGATTGACACCGCCACAACACGCGGTGGGGCAAGTTCCTAGTTTGGTTTAAAAACCATATTATCATATATATTAAAAATGAAATGTTATTATACAAATGGGAATTGTTGTTATAAAATAGTGTCCACAGTCACAATAATTGGTAATATTATCATTAATGACGGTCTTTTTGTGTTACATGCATGAATAGTTTTAAGCAAGTATTTGATGGGTTTTGTGAAAGTTAAAAGCGATCTTTTTATAGAACAATTTTAAGCGTCAAACGAAAACAATTTTAAAATAACTATAATTTTAAGATCATTTTAAACAAAACCGCCAAGGATCCTAATACATGATATAAAAAGATTATAAACAACACATAGGATGTTTAGAATTACTATCTTCGAAGACTTTAATCCCGTTTGGTTTTTGGGAGTTGATGGCGATAGCAAAAACTCAAGAAAGAGTTTCACTATAATGTATTCACCAACAAGTATATGCCACAAAGAATGTTAGTTCCCATCTTGTATGAATTGTTTTTTTTAAGCTTTTAAGCACTTATCACAAATAAGCCTCAAAGGGGAAGCACTTCTAAAACACCAATTCTTCACTAGCCTCAAAAGAGAAGAATAGGGAGATGGAATGAACCTAAGGTTCATATATGGGAAAGGAGAAAGAGATTCAAGACTAGCCTTCTGATAGTTTTATTTTATTTACTTTTTTTATAGTCTATTTTAGTATATTTCATTCATATTTTAGTTAATTTTCATGCATATTTTTCTTTTTGTTATTTTATGACTATTTCAGGTACTTTCTAGTTTCATGAGCATAATTGCAGTTTTTTTAGAAACTTGTGGAGCGGGATCTTATGGAGCCGATTAGACTCGGAGAACAATAAAGATTTTTAGGCTTAATATTAAGTGGAGGTGATACATAAAATAGGCTTTAGATGGATTGAGCATTGAAGAATATGGTCTCTTAGTTAAACGAAGATGGAAGAATTTTTCAATCGTACGGGAATTAATGATCGGATGATTACGCAAGCTTTGGAGGATTTAGAAAAAAAAATAGACTCAAATTGAAGAAAACTTGAAGAAAAATGGGCTAGAAGCTGATCAGAATCAAATTGGACTAGTGGACTAAGCAATGCAGGCCTAACAAATGAAGAAGGCCCATTCTTCGTTAGTTTACGTTCCCTCCCCTGGGACACCTCCTCATCCTCCCTGGTCTGTAACTCAAGCTCAATCTGTCTCCTCCTAGCATTGTCCTGAAGCTCGGCCAATGTCCGGTACGATGAGTTCACCACGAACTCTCGTATATCCCTCCTCAGTATGCTCAGATATCGACTCACACGTGCTTGCTCAGTGGACATGTGTTCGGGGCAATACATCGCCCTCTCATGGAACATCCTCGAGATCTCCGTCACTGAATCTGTCTTCTGCTGGAGAAATCTTGCGCCAAACGTTCCTTCTCCACCGGAGGAACATACTCATCTCAAAACATCTGAACAAACCTCTCCCATGTCATTGCAGCATGATCTTTAGTGGTGAAGCCAACTGTCGCAAACTTCCACCAGTCCTTCGCTCCCAAGCGATGCTGGTTTAGCGCAAACCGAACTCTCAAATGGTCGGGACAAGAACACGTATAAAAACACCCCTCGATATTGGAGATCCATCTCATCGCAACAATTAGATCTTGCATCCCATCAAACTCCGGTGGCTTCGTGTTGCTGAATTCTCGGAACAGCAACGAGTCACCTCCCTGTAGCCTAGCAGCGAGGACGGCCGTAGTGCCTGCGGCAACAGAAGCCTCAGTGATAGCAATGTATCGCTCGTTAAACGTCTGAATCAAGGTGGTCTTGATAGACCCACACATCTCTGGAATCTCTGCTCGGATAGCTGAAGCCATCTCCTCGTGGATCATCCTCCGTATCTCCTCATCACTACTCCCACTGCTCCCAGGGTTGTGGCGTGTACCCACGATGACGTCTCTGAAATACAACACAAAAATTATCAAAGACTCACTCGAGCATACTCACACTCGATCACC